AGCACTGAGCTGAAAGGCATGGGCAAGGACACGCATTACAAACATGACATGTAGCGGACACCAAATTCAAGAAAAAGTTACAGACAAGAAAAATATGGTAGAATTGCAGACAATGTGTTGCTTCACTCCGGGATTTCTCCACAACCTAGTGCTGCATTTGGAAACGTTTTGTTGTAAAAGATATATGCAAATTTAAAATACACTTATCTTAAGGGGGAACTTCATTTTGTTATTTAAAAATGTAGTAATCAGACTTAAGTAAATTCTTACCTCTTAGAAACAATGTAATATGCATATATGAGTACTGTCATTAACTATAAATTAAAAATAAAATAAATAAATAAATAATCAAGATTTCAGCTGAGATAACAGCAAATAGGTAAATTGTAAATCAACTAAATGCATACCTTCTCCTTTTGAAGAGCGTGAAGTTTTGTCTGGTACTCTGTAAGCTTTCTTTGTGATAAATCTTGTTCCTCGAGAGTCAAGGCATTTAGATCACTGACAAAATGGCCATGTCCTGAAATCTCACCAGTGATCTTCTCAATCTGAGCCTTTATATCTGAAAATTGTTTCACCAATTCCTGTTTCTTAAGTGTCAAGTCCTCTACAAGTGTGGTGACGGAAGACAACTGATCTTTCAAAGATCTTGCTTTCCTCTCTGACTGGATCTGTTAGTTCAAAAATAGCTCAGTCAATGAGCAATGTCATCTGACATTCAAAAAACTAGAAGAACCTCAAAAAATTGACATAACATGAAAAGCTACAACATAGACTGAACTCCTAGTTTGCATTTTTTAATCAGCATCTGTGTATATATCCTTTTCTCTGGTAAAGGTCTAAAGGAGCAATACTGACAAAACCCAATTGTGTAACAACACTGATGTTCCATTTTCAAAATGCAAATGCTGTGTAAACATCACAACACAAAAAATTTAACTGGAAGAGGCTAGCACCAAGTAGCAGTAAGGTGGCTAAAAGACCACAATCAAGTATACCAATAATTAGAAGAACGAAAAGCTAAAATTAGTTTAGGTTGGAAAAGAAGCTACAAAGTTAGAGAGATGTGAGTTCAATTGCTCACAATCCGGTTGCCGTATTTGTGCATGTGTAAATATATATTTTGTAACACGAGTAAGACTGATAGAGGATAGTGAAAGAGAAGAAAAATCAAAAGATACCCCATGATCAGTGAAGATACCATTTAAGACCTAATCTTATAGATGTCAACATATAAATTTTGTTTAGATATCTTGTTTTACTTTGCTCGATGTTACATTTGACATCAAAGGTGTTATGCTATTGAAGATGAAGAATCCTAGTTGTATATATGATAAATTCCTTCTCCAGAGCTATGTGATAGCAAGTATATTGATTTAGTCATCTTATTGTCATATCATGAAACCCTAGGTAAGGATTTTCAACAGCATGTCAGAGGCCTTCCTCTTCAGAATCGTGCATGAATAGTATTTTCTTGATGTGCATATTGAACAATAAACCTGAAGGGATATGCTTCGAGTCTTTGACATTTCAGTTGTGCATATACATGACAGGACTTCAGAAATCAAATTGATCTTTAGGAGTGGTGTGTTCAGAACTAGCTCAAATAATTTTAGGATAATTGAGCAAGCAGAAGTCCTAGCATCAAATCTCATTATGACTTTTTACAGTAATTGCAATTGCTATGGCAATATTATAAAATAATTCACTTCACTCTTGACTGCGTGTCTTGAAGACATGAAACAATGTTCTCCAAATTTTCCTTGCTCAATCGTTCTGATGATCTTGTCATTAAATAAGGTGTGCACAATAAATAATAATATGAATGTCATCAATCTAGTATAGCTGTTTGGGAAAATTGTAATCGTACAAGCAGAATGCCAAATTAAAAAAATACCCACAATTCAATGCTTGTCAATCCATAATTTTGTGGTAGTAGCCTAAAGAGAAGCTGGACAATTCTAATTCTTCGAACAAACATCATAATATGGATCAACCCCGTAATTTGCTAGAGTTTTGTACTCAGGAAAAGACAAAAAATCATTACTAGATTCAATTTTGACTCTGCAACACCTCAGATTCTTTCATTTCCATTCTTTTTATCAACTAATGGTCGTTTTCAAAGACACTAACTTGACAGGCTATTGTATTTTCAGAGTTTTCACGTGTTCAGAATCCAAAAATGCTTTCTAATGCATAAAAACTGAAACTCTCTAAGCATTGATTATGCCTCATAATTTCTTAATGTTAAAGTCGATCTTAGGGAAGAAGACACCAAAATACAACAAAAGTTTGCCTAACAGCAGTAATTACACCTTCAAGACCGAATCACATTCTTCACATAGCAAAATTAAATTAGAAAGAAATAGACACCCCCTTCTCAAATAAAAGTAAAGGCAAGGAGTATTTTTCACTCCAATTATAACATGTTATGGTAGTCATCTTAGTGACATCAAAGAAAACAACCTAGAGAAAGTTCGTTGTTTAGGCTTCTGTCATTCCCATATTGATTACAAATACAGTTTTCACCATTAAACACAAACCATGAACAAAGATGTGAGGATTTTTTATAGTGCTTCCAAAGGAGAGACTAGTATTTTACCTTAAAGAGGTATTCCTTTTTTTTCCCTTCACCATGTAGAAACATGCTTTAATGTCGTTAAATCTAATTTCAGATAGAAAGCTCATATTAGGTAATTTTTGAGTTAATTCTTCCAATGGTCACTGAACTTAGGAACAGTCTTAGATTGCACACTTAAGTTTAAAATATCGAGTTTTGACCACTGAACTTTGGAATATGCCGTACATTACTCACTAGCATAATTGTTGAACTTTGAAAAATATCGAGTTTACAGTGAGTAATGTACAATATTTTTTAAAGTTCAGTGAATAATGTACAACATTTTCAAAGTTCAATGGTCAAAACTCGACATTTTAAACTTCAGTGAGCAATCGAAGACATGGACCTAAATTCAGTGACCAAAACTCGACATTTTAAACTTCAATGACCAATCAAAAACAAGGACCTAAATTCAATGACCATTGGAACAATTAACTTGTAATTCTTTTGCAAATTCCGCTACAATAAGATAACTATGGAAGCTAAAGGAAAAGAATATTAAAATTAAGCTCATTGGAAGACTAAATACAAATTTATCACATGACAAAGGTAATATGAGGCACAAAATAAAAGGAATAAAAAAATTCATGTTGCTTGTTTCAATTCCCGAGGAGTTTCAATTACCGGTGAATTAACATGGATCTCTCCAAGAGTAGCCATGAGCATTGCAAGCTCAGCTTCCTTGGCAGCAACAGATTGATGAAGATGAACCTTGGCAGTGGCAGCCTCATCAACCTTTCTTCTGTAAATTTCTAAGCACTCTCGCTCAAGCTCCAACAGCATGCGGTCTTTATCAGCTTCAGACTCACCAATTTCAGTCCATATTTTCTAATCAAAATACCAATGCCAAAAAGAGTGATTAATATCGTGCCATAAGCACTGTTGTACCCTAAAAGTTCATAAAATAACAAGAATCATAATCATAATTTGTTAAATCAAACAAAATTGTAAAAGTTCAGTTGTATTTAATCACCATAAGCTACCAATTTTAGTCAAACTTCATATAAAAGGAAAAAGACAATTTAGAAATATAAATACACAGAAAACCCAAATTTTAATATGTCCTAACAATGGAGTCAAAAATCATGGGGAACCATCAAGCTTTATATGTGGTGCATAACACAGCCTGTATCCCAGTTTCTTTTCGACTCCATGAAAGAAACTCAACTTATTCTCACCCTCAAAACCATAAAATTACTGTTAGAAAAAGGAACTTTATAAAAATGGGGGTAAGTTTGTAGAAGAAAACTTAACATAATTTATTTAAATTTAACTCATTCCTCAAACAAAAAAGACCCCTCTTCAATTCAAACACCAAGATGCCAAGAAAACCTCAAGAAAGCAAAAAGGGAAAATTCAAGCTAACTTAATGAAAGATCGAAAAGGTAGTATTTTTTACAAAAGATAAAAAGTAATTCCACATATTCAATTATCAAATAATGTATGCACATAAGGGGTGAGAGAGAGAGAGAGAGAGACCTGAAGTTCCTTGAGTAAAGCATTGTAACTACTGCTTGTATGAATACTGCTACACGGACTTCCAAACGCCATCATCATTGCTACTGCTTTTGATCTCTTTAAATTCTTCCTTTCTTTCTTTCTTCCAACTCTCAATCTCTTTCCAAAAAGACCAACAAAAAGAAAGTAAAAGGCGACAGTTCAAAATGAAAAATGCAAGGACTTTCACTTCTCCAAGAAAACAAGAAAAGCTTCCACACCCTGAAATAGACTATGGCTTTTCACTTTTTCTTTACTCAGGTGGTCAAAGGCGAAGTAAAAAACAATAATGATGAGAATACTGAACAGAAGCAGTATTTTTATAACTCTATCTCTTCATATCTCTCTTTCTTCTCTGTTGTTACAACAGGTCGAAACTTCCAACTCAGAACTTTATAACACACACACAGCCACCACTGTAAATGAACAAATGGGTCAGACCCAGAGAGAAAACAAAGAGATTTAGTGCAGTAAACAAATTCCAAAATCAATGAAGAAAGAATGAACATAAAACAAGAAGTCTTACCAACCCAATTATCCAACAACTCAGGTAAAAGAATGGGAAGTGGAGTTTCTGCGTAGACTAGGGTTAGTGGGTGGGGCTAACATGCGCCCGTACAAGTGGATCTGCGATATTTAGCACAAGTTTCCATTTCCAAGATTGGTATTCTTATTACATGGTTTTACGCTTCAACAGCAGGCAATTCTCTGTATCAATAATATATTACTACCAATTACTTGCCTTAATTATTTGAGTACTATAGGTATTTAATAATTGGACTGTTGATATTAATTATAGAGAGAAAATTGTAGTGAACCCTCAATTTATAAGTGTTGTAACAAGTTGATCCTCAACTTTTATCTCTTAGTATTAAAACTCTCAACCTTTTAACTTTATAACACATTAGTCCCAAGTGGATGGGGTCACCTTCCTACTATGGAAAAGGCAAGTAATTCATATTGATTGGTACACATTTCTTTGAACGTAGGTCATGTCCTACTCAAAGTACAACATTTCTTTGAAAATGCAAGAATGCAACAGTTGTAGCAACTACTTTGTAGTGAATAAAGCACTGTTAAGGAGTAGTGGACGAAAAGACCTCATATATTGCCACAATCGAATCGTGCAAGGCCTTCTTTTGTTAGCTACAGCTTCTATGTAATGTTGGTACCGATTGATTTGGATTCATGTGCACAAGTCAATGATTGTCATCAAGTGGTAATTTCTTCGGATTCATGTGCATGTCTTAAATTGTATTGGGGTTGAATAAATGAAATTAATGCAAAAGTTTCAAGAACCATATCATTTTGTTGACATTGTAGAAACTTGATGTTATTCTTTATTTGGCGTTCCTTCATTTTTATTGCCTTAACTAAAAAATAATTGATCATAGATTTTCGGGTTAACTCCATGTGTGCTCACTACATTAATTGGTCGAATTTAAAGAAGTATTTACTTGAGAGATTGTTAAAACTTTCTAATTAAAGCAGTTAAACCCTAATACCATCATTAGATACTTCTAGCTTGCAGCTCGAGAATATGATTTGAAATTGTTCCTAAGGAGCAATGCACGAGAAGACCTCATATATTGTCACATTCCATTTGTGGAAGGCTTCCTCTTTTTAGCAGTGATTCATAAAGATATTTTTTATACCGATTGATCTATATTCACGCACAAGTTAATGGATGCTACCATATGACAATTGCTGGGCATCCACTTCTTAGGTAAGGGTGTAAAATATGGCGAGTCGTTGCACTTGAATCGCACAAGAAAATTGTTACTCGGCACCCTAGTGAGGCGAGCCGCCCATAGTCTTAGGGTTGTATTTTCTACTCTTCCTTTCAGTTCATTTAGTAATATAGAGTTGGAAAAAAAATTATGATACTCATAATCAGCGCCACTCATATACAGTTTATTGACGGAGACATGACTTAAAATTTTCAATTGACTTTTTTTCATAATATGTCGTGTCTTTAAGCCATGTACAATGTCACATAGATTGTCTATGAGATACACTACCTATGAATCAGATTACTAATTAAAAAAAAAAAAAAAATGAGGGAAGCAAGCTTTTAGGAATAATTTATTGCAACAATAACGTGGGACCCTTTCCATAGCTGAACAAACTTGCATCAATCTGTGATGACGGAGATTAGGAATACATACGAGCAACAAAATATGAGAAAGTCATTTATCTGAGAATCGATGGGTTTGATTTGGCTTGTAGAATTGAACCTCCAAATTTTTCTATCACACATGTTTAGTAATGTGGAAATAACTTGATAAATGAGTCATGAAATCCCATTATTCCAAATCTGTGAGATAGTTAACATCATGTTCTCCAATTGGATCTACTCTGGTTAACTTTGAGATTTGCATGTCCCACCAAAATGAATGAACAACTTTAGATTGTCGACAGTGGAGATATAACCATCTAACCAAAAAATTGAAATAGTCATCTAACCAAAAACCTTTTTTTTTTTTTTTTTTAAGAATGGAAATAGGGCATCCTGCCACGTAATATTGCATGCATAATCTATTAATTAAATGGGATCTATATGTTACACATAATCTAGGAAAAAAATGTTAGTCTTATTCTTATATATGTTCGATTTTGTATAATTTGTAATGCTTTTGTTACGATGCATGGATACTTGTATTAGAGCGGCATCTATGTGTTCAACAATGTTTGGACATTACACGACTATAGGTTTGAAAAGTCAAGTGCCTTGTTCAATTTTTAAATTTTTTCTAAATTTCTAACGCTCTAAGCATACTTTAGGAACATTTCTTGGATAAGTGTTAAGTTAGCGTTCAACATGACATACATTTTGTCCTATATTAAAAAGTGTATATATATATATTAAGGGCTTGTTTGGGCTCGATTTTTTCACCCAAAAAATTGATTTTTTGACCGTTATTTTACTATTCCAGCCGTCATATTTGACTTCTTCTCTCACAGGTGGGCCCCACTTTTCTCCTAACAGTCAAAAAATCAATTCTCAAAATCACTCCCAAACAGGCTCTAAAGAATTTAAGAGAAGTGTTATATATTTTTGTGTTAGTATCAGGTGGCCATATAACTTAATGCATATATCTTTTCATATATTCATAATTATTTTGTTTGATATATTTACTGTTTAAGGCAATCGATGGTGAAGATCTAATCACACTATTTGTTTCTATTACTCATACCTACTTAGATGATTGAGAATTTAGACCAATAATATGTAATGGATTTATTGTAACCACCCTCTATATCTCATAATATGGATAGATTCTATGAATTACACAATAATTACAATATTTTAATTAGAAAATTAATACACTCTTATCCCAACAAACATTTTTTGTATATGAATTTGGTAGATTAGGTTTAAGTATGATATCAACAATAATAATTATTGTGTTACTGACAAGATTTAACAATAATTCATTTGTGTGCGTGTGCGTGTGCGTGTGCGTGAGAGAGAGAGAGAGAGAGAGAGAGAGAGAGAGAGAGAGAGAGAGGACTTGATAAAGACAGACGGACTACTGTGCAAGACAATGACGGGGGAACTACAACAGAGTAGAAAATAGGGAATAATGGGCCCACATTTATATAATAAATAATGTTATTCACAGTGAAAACTACCGACAGTCGTCCTATATGACGTACACTTGAAAATTTTTCATTTGATGTATAATCTAAAAAATAACTATCATATCTATGTATTAAATACCAAATTGTCAAGTGTATGCCACATAAGACGATTATCGATAATCTTTACTCCGAATAGCATTACTCTTATATAATTCCTAATCCTACATCATAAATTACAGGAAAAAGTTTTCTTTTGTGGGTCCGACTGGTTTGTGTCCCTTTCCTTGTGGAAAATGTTAAGAATGCTCATAAAGCAAAACGAGAATAATCTTTCATCTTTAGCTACAAAGCTATCAATAATTGCATTACATGGAGTTAACAGAATTGATGAAACAACTACTAGAGGCATATTATATTTTAATTATTGTAAGATACATTGCTTCTATTCCAATAGGTCAAATTGGTATCCAATTCAAAAGTCAATATCTTGTTTTTCGTCGAAAAAATAGTAATTATCGGAAATTTTCATAATTAAAAGTAAATTTTCTTATATTTGTCCTAATTTTGTTATAGTTGCATAAAAAATTGAGCAAGTTTGAGAAGTATTTATAAATTATTTAAATAAATAAATAAAATATCCTCACTGGGTATTGTAAGATACATTGCTTCTATTCCAATAGGTCAAATTGGTATCCAATTCAAAAGTCAATATCTTGTTTTTCGTCGAAAAAATAGTAATTATCGGAAATTTTCATAATTAAAAGTAAATTTTCTTATATTTGTCCTAATTTTGTTATAGTTGCATAAAAAATTGAGCAAGTTTGAGAAGTATTTATAAATTATTTAAATAAATAAATAAAATGTAGAAGAAAGGAGCCGTGGTGGTCCCCCCGAATCGTCCGAATCCCATGAGTGAATCAAAAGTTGAATCTACATTGAATCTTATTTGATGAAGCCATGTGAATTGTTAAAAACATGTGAAGTATATTTCTAACCCAATAATGAAAGTTTCGTAAGGGGACTTGGTAGACGGTGACGGAATTGTTAGAGACGATGTTCTAACTCCCTAGGAATTTCAATTGCGCTCATATTTATCACTGTAGGAATTGGGATGAATAAATGTGTAGTATTTGTTTGTACTTCGAAATGTATGAATAAAAAGTGACTCAATTATTTATAATATAAGTCAATCATACGCTAAGTAAATTTCACTGATAAAAGTACAAACCAAAGTGCTTGACGAGGTCGTGTACCAGGTGAAAAGTTGCAAACAATAAGAGTTTAAAAGATAGCCGCTATTTATAAGTATGATAAGCAATAAATATAAGGAAAAAGGTAAATTGATGTTTTTTTTAAAAGTACAGAAAGCACTCAAACTCTATTATTGTTCAGGTTGTCGACGAGGTGAAGAGTTGCAGACGATAAGAGTTTAAAAGATAGCCACTTTATTATAAGCATGATAAGCAATAAAGAAAAAGAAAAAGGTAAATTGCTATTTTTTTTTTTAAAAAAGTACAGAAAGCACTCGAACTCTATTATTGTTCAAAATAATTCAATCCAATTTTCATCTTTCCTCATCCGTTTCTCCATAGTAATACTATTAACATTAGCGGTATTTATCATTTATGTGTCATTTGAGTCCGCTATTTACAATTTATTAAAATAAAAAATATTATAAGTGAATCAATACTAAGTGTCAATAATGCTTCATAACATTATTTTTTCCCTCACCCAAGTCATGATTTCTTGAATCGTTATGCCGCTTATACTACTAATATGCCAACTATTAGATAACTACTGTCATAAATTATAGAAGACCAAGAACTTTAACCACCATACATTCTCATATAACAAAATACAATGCCAAAAAATTATAAAAGGTGACAAGGAAACTGCAGGCATGTTTTAAGGTACAATTCATTAATACTAGGATTAAAATTAATTAAGCATTTTCAATCATTTCAATGATTCTAATTGTTATTTGATGTTAGTTATTTTTGTAACAAGAGCAGTGTTAGCATAATTTGGCACGAAATATTTTATTTATCGTCGCATGCAATTTTATCCAATCATCATTGAAAGAAGTAAACCGAATTAATCCGTGAAATTTAGGCCGTGGTTGGTTTGCCGTTTACTGCCCATTTTCCGT